CGCTTTAGTAAATCCCGAAATTTCCGCTTGGGCTCCCCTATTACTATAATACACTGAAAAAAATAAACAATTTGTTATCCTGATTCATCAAAGTGGTATAAGAACAAAATCAAAAAATAAGAACGATTTGTGAACATAAAGTCATGAGAATCATGACTCCCTGTACTTCTTCTTATATTTTCCACACAGTTGAGTGATTCCAGTTCCGGAGATTCTACTTCAGAATGGAATGTCTGAGTCGCAATGAGAGATGAAAAAATATAATATAAAGTTTTTTCAAAAGTTGTGTGGATTTTATTGTCATGTGGCAGTTACCAAAGGCGAAAACCCACCAAACAAAGACCATGGTTACTGTGTGGTGGTCACTATAATTTTTTGCAACCGGGCCGAAAACTGGTCAACAAAAGATGTCCGATTGTGTCAGTTCGCATTCCTATTGAGGTTTTCATAGTAGGGAAAATTAGTCAAATCAAGTGAACAGTTTTATTTGAATAAAAACCAACAGTTTCGAGCCATGCTTTGAGGAAGGAACATGAGCGATATTCGAAAATATACATATATGTTGTCTGTTTTGAAAATAAAGTGAATTTTCATCTTTATCAGAAAATATTCATTTATTCCTCAATTTCTATTTTGCTCCCTTCAAAGTATTCCCCTTCAGATGTTATACACTTGTGCGACCGTTTTTTCAATCTTCGTAGCAGATTAGAAAAATCACTTTCAACGCCGAACTTGCTTGCGTCTACTCAGCCCTAGTTCTGGTTGATGATGATATTGCCGTAACTGGTGAGAAAATCCAGACCATCCTCAAAGCAGCCAACGTTGACGTAGAACTATACTGGCCTGGTCTTTTTGCGAAAGCGCTAGAAGGAATCAACGTCAGGAAACTGATCACCAACATTGGGTCTGGAGTAGGGAGTGCCCCATCGCCAGGAGGTGCGGCAGCTCCAGCTGCGGCAGTTGCTGCTGCTGCTAAACCTGCCAAGGAGGAAAAGAAGAAGGAAGAGAATCGGCATCCTAACGAGGGAAAATAGCGTCAAAACCGCCAACCTCCAAGAGAGTGCCGAAATTCTTGTGGAAACTCACTTCCCAGGTTCTGTCTTTTCTGGAACGACGAACTGGACGGAGGTACCAACAACACCCTCACAATACGACTGGCAATCTGCTAGTGCAATATTTGACGAGGACAGGATAAGATGTGCCATTTCGGAATTTTCCCTCTTCAAGTCACCAGGACCTGACGGTATAAGGCCAGCTCTATTTCAGTGGGGACTGGACATTCTTATACCGCACCTGGTTGGAATATTCAAAGCCTCTCTAGCTCTGAGGTATATTCTCAGTAAGTGGAGAGAAGTACGAGTATTATTTATACTCAAACCAGGTTGGATGGACTACATCCTACCAAAAGTATTCCGACTGATTAGTCTCACATCGTTTTTCTTAAAAACTATGGAAAAGCTATATGAGCGGTACATAAGATAAAGTACTAGTTCCTAACCCACTTCATCCAAATCAGCATGCATATACACCGAGGAGGTCTACTCGAGAGACAACTCTCATGAACTCCTAAAACTTTTGTATGAAACATTTTTGTGTATCTCCTTCAACAAACCAGATATTGCCTGTCACATAAAATGTGGGACACCCGGTATACAGACGGCTCAGAAACCAAAGAATGTGGAGTGTACTTCAGATCACTAAGCTTAAGGGTTAAGTGAGGAATGGGAAAAATACCAGCGTGGTCCAAACAGAATTGGCTGGTATCTCAATTGCCACAAAAGAAATAACCAATAAAGAAATTTCTGGCAAAAACTTAACAATCTGCACTGATTAGCCTTGAACAGACAACGTATAACCTCAGGGCTAGTACTAGAGTGTCACCAACATTTAGCCAAAGCCTCGGTAGATAATAACATTATCCTGAAGTGGGTTAAAGCTACGAGAGGAGTAATGGTAATCGCATTGCCGACTCTTTAGCCTAGGAATCTACTGGACTAAGAATTTTAGGACCCAGTGGCACCTACGGCCTGATGACGATTGCGGAACTAGTCAAATGGGATGGAATCATAGGATGCAATCTTGCCAGGATCACCTTGGGCGATCCTGGGAAGCTGGCGCCGAAGAAATATCTGGCGATGACCAGGAAAAATCTACACTAAACGGTAGGATTTCTGACTGGCCACTGTCAACTAAGGAAACACCTCCACAATATGGGGCTAGTGGACACACCTCTATGCAGGATGTGTGATCAGGAAGATGAAGCTGTCAGGCAAGTTCTACGCGAGTGTCCGAAGTTATCGTCAATAAAAGAGTGTGTGTTCGGCGAGTCTTGGCCCACACCTATCGATATGGAAATAGATCAGTAGAGCTCATAACTGACACATCTTTAGATTTTTCTTAATATGTGATTCGGCAATTATGTGCATTGAGAGCTAATGTGGCTGAATGTAAATTATATGAAAAGGATGCTGCTGTATCCATCAGCATTATAATATTTCATACCAGATGTCACTGAAAATTGAAGACACTAGTCTATATTTTCGGGAGGAAAATAATGTGATATGCATTTTGCAGTTAATTGAAGTCTTGCAAGGCTAATTAGGTGATACCTGAAATGTTTTTCACTCGTTTATAAACGGAAGCTCTGGAGTTGCTTGTCCAGTTCTGCAAATGTATTTTCATGTTTACATGAAGAAAAGGTAACGTAGTTTCAAATCGATTAATAGTGAAACATTGAAGAAGTCAATTGGCATCAAAATCTCCCACAGTTATCCCATAATCGGCTTTTCATCTAGCATTTAAATATTTCTGAAATAAATAATGGAATGAATATTCCAGAAATTCTAAATCAAGCTCACTATTGAATACAAGAGTATATTCTTGATATTAAAAATAAAAATAGCAATCATTGAAAAAACAAACATTTCATGTTTATTAAAAATATGAATAAAGTATCAACAAACTGTCGAAAAGTTAGGTAACAGGAATTGCACAACAATTTCTGTAGATAATCAGAGAATTGAAATGAAAATATTTATCAATAAACTCAGTGAATTGCATTTTGACAAAATGATAGATAGATTCTCAACAAGAGATAAGATAAAGACATGAAAGTAAGTAGTATAAAAAATAATAAATTGCAACAGCCTTGAGAAATGTAAACAGATAATTCAATTAATATGATGTATTGATTGTCGGGAAAATAGTCAATCGTATTAGACATTTCGGCAAAATTCTCTTACATTTCGAAATCTGAATGACCCAAATGAACTTTCTCCTCCAAATGCAATACACCATAATCATTATATAACTTGTACCTCCCTGTCGAGAGATTATTCGCAAATGTTGAATTGGTCTTTAAATTCAAAAAATAACTTATATGCTCTTTAATTTTTTTGAAAAAAGCTCTTCCGGTTTGTCCGATATAAAATTTTGGACAAGAACCAAGCCAACTTATATAACTGAAGTTTACGTTTATTATTTTTAATGAATTGACACGAGTTACTATTTATTCTGTAGGCTATATAATATGTTCAATTTTTGCTTTTTAAAAATTGAGCGATATTATCAATAGGATCACCAAAGTGAGTTAGAGTTACATTATGGATAGTATCGTCCTTTGAAACTGGATAGATCTTGTACAGAGCTTGTTCGTTGCATTTTTTACAAAAGATTGAGTCAATAATATTCACATCGTAACCAGTGTTGACAGTATATTGTTTTATGAAAATTAGTTCTTATTTAAAATGACTTTTTGAAAGTGAAATAGTCATTAGTCTGTGAGTCATACTATTGAATGTTGCTAGTTTATGTTCATTTGGTATTGTAACAAGAATTATGTATAATGATGTCTGTGTAAGATGGTTTGTGGATAATTACAAAATCATGTTTATTGTTGATTCTAGTGATAATGATATCGCTCGTTTTTCAAAGACAAAGAATTGGACGTAGCCTATACAAACAAATAATACTTTGGGTAAATTCATTCAAAACAATAGGGATGAAACTCCAGTGTCTAATAGTATACAAGATGACTTGTGGTTCTTGTCCAAAATTATATATCGGACAAACCGGAAGAACTTTTTACAAAAGAATAAAAGAGCACAGAAATAGTGTTGTGACGCCCGAAGATGCTATTATATATAGCGAAACACGTGTCGCCGTTTTCTAAACTTCCAAGTGGAAATTTATTATGTTCAAACATGGCCAAACACTTGAAGATAATTTTATTATAGTCGAATACTCATGCAATATAAAAACAACATGTTATATTGATATCGTAAAGATATCAGCTATACAGCTAACTCACGCAACCTCACTTTTCGATCATTCAAAACGATTTTGCAGATTTTTTCTGGTGTTACTGCCTCATTTGGACGTCCACTGCGTTCTGCGCCATCGGTTTCTCTACGATTACGTTTGAAGTCAGCAAACCAATGTTTAATTGTTGTTTCTGATGGAGTGTAGTCCTTATAACACTTCAAGTCATTTTTTCGATTGAACTGTTTTTTTTCCATCAAGAATCAGTGTAAAATGAAAACACGAAATTGTTTTTGATCAGTTGATTTGAAAATAACAAAAGTAGTGCCACTCTTGTCATAATAAGTCACTAACTTATGAGTGGATCATCATGAAATTTCAACAGCTTCTTTTTGAAGGGTATTACTAACTGAAAAAGCGATGGATGTAATGAAACTAGCGCTATCTATGAGACTTTTCAGCCCATATAGTAATATCATCAAATGTTAATGTTTTACACAAAAGACCTTTTAATGATCAAAAATCAGAATTCAGAAGATATTCACCTACAAGTCATCAAAATTTCACACAAGCACCTAAAACACAATATTTCAAATACAAGTAAGTATCCCGTTGAAGTAGTCTCCACTAGTACTTTACCAGTTTACCTGCTTTCAAAAATGAACAAACACAGAGCTATCAAATCCGAAACTCAAGTCAAATTTCACTTTATCCACTCTTTCAATTGGCATCTAGCATTTTTTCTCTTTTCTATGTAGTAGTGTTGTGAATTGTTACTCATCACAAAGACACACGTAATCTCATGAAAATCACTGGATAGTTTTTATTTGCAATCGAGGTACCAACGGTATCAAGATACTTTCCTCGTCCACACAAAGCATGGGGCATGTTATATTTTAGAGTTTAGTGCACTTTTTGAATATTATTATAGTGAAGGTGAAGCTGAGTTGCTTCATACCAGTCTGATACTTCTGGTAATAGTATCACAATTCACATTTTACTTCCAGTTAGAGTGACTATTTCAGAATTTCTAGGGGTATACTATTGTGAAGGTAAGTCAGTTATTTTGGAGTCATTTGGACCCACCTGAAAAAACATTTCGATAATATTTTGTATTCATAAAACACTCGGTCTACGATACAGTAGGCTACAAGTTGATAAACTTGAAAAATAGATATTTAGCTCCTGGTAGTTCGATAAATAATTTCATTTGCGGCCCTAGAAATGTAGCTTTCGCTTATTTTATAAACATTTTTACCTTTCACTTTAATGTAATTTTTCATTAATAACAAGATAATCTGTGAGAAGAAATACTAAGTGGATAAATAATGATGTAAGACAATCGTCTACTATAACCTATAAAACTCACAAGCGTTATCAAGGACTTTTCCTGTACTACGTGAGTATTATGAAGACCAAAAAAGGATGATGGAGACCCTAAAGAAGTATTATCCATGAGTATCTGGACTGGAGAAGACACTGTCAGTAATTTCGAAACTCAACTCTGCTACCTGTTCAAAAACATGAGATCAGTTTTGACGAAGAAACAACTTAGACAAGGGTCGATAATTTTTTAAACTAAAAAAAATAACAGTAAGATGAAACCCATTAAAAAAGGAAAATATGATGAAAATGAAAGGAAATATAAATTACGGGCGATCTGAGTTCGTGAAGTGAGAGAGGGTGAGTTTTTGAGGGTAAAAAATGGTTTATTTCGATTTCCGGCAAGAAACCCATTAAAAAAGGAAAATATGATGAAAATGAAAGGAAATATAAATTACGGGCGATCTGAGTTCGTGAAGTGAGAGAGGGTGAGTTTTTGAAGGTAAAAAATGGTTTATTTCGATTTCCGACAAAACTGCAAGTCCTATGTTAAAAAATTGAATGGCAAAGTTGTTGGTAATGAAAAGATCTACAACTTTTGTACCCAAAATTTTTTGAAAATACTCATATTCAGTATAAGAAACTGATGTTGAAGTAACGAAAAAATAAATCAAATGATATCCTTATATTGACTGATAATTAAATATTAGGAAACATCTGAAATCTCACAAAGTAACAATAACAGCAACATATTATACTATTACAATATTCCTACGCTAGATGGAGCACGCATATTCTGCCTTGCTTCTCTTACATTTCGAAATCTGAATGACCCAAATGAACTTTCTCNACAGCAAAATATTATACTGTTACAATATTCCTACGCTAGATGGAGCACGCATATTCTGCCTTGCATAACGCCTGAGAATGATCAGAATCATGTCTTATATAATCAAATTTTTCCACAAATAACTGATTTTTACCTAGCGTAGGAATTAACCATAATCAAGAAGGTGGTTAACCCTCAGGATGATGCCTTTCCATTGTACTTCGGACAGGCTGACTCCTGCCATAATTATCTCAAATGCAAGTGATTCGGGCGCACAATTTTGGATTTAGTCGGGATTGGGAATTACCAGTCCCGCTGTATTTAATTGAAACATAATTTTCTTACAAAATATACTAGTCTCTTCCTGATAACAACCCTTAAATTTACCTGGTTATTCTCCAAAGTAGACAATACTTTTGTAACTCGCAACAATACTGAATGCTATACCTATACTATTAATTCAGAAAGTATAGATTCATTTGAATCATTTGCCAAGTTTTCTGTTAGTTCTCAATACAAAAATCAGAACAATGAAATTGTTCTGGCATTTTGATATCCAAAGTATTTGAAGATAAATATTTAAATCGTTTAGTAATCTCTGAATTATTTTGATTTTTGTATAAAAGTAACGAGATGCCAAGCCAAGTTAGTTCACGACGTTTCGATTGTTAGTATCCACAATCGTCTTAGCGTGATGACTGGACTATTTCCTCCGAGAGATTACTATTAATAGGTCATTCGAGTACCTACTTCCACTTATCTCCTTTTTCCGCTTCACCTGTTGAGTGGGAGATGACTATTTGACGGGAGTTGGCCATTTTTCCCTTGATTATGAGTTTCCATAGATATGAGAGTTATTCTTTTTAATGTTTTGATTTTCAAATTGTCTACTTACAGTAGATAGACAGTAATTAATTGCGGTTGTGACTAACATTTTTAGGAGCTTTATATCTATTTTTCACGTTTTTTAACTAATTGCCTAGCGAGGGATTTTTAGTTCGACTGAAAAATTATACTGTCTGTATTGATTCTTTCATGAATCATTCATGTATTCAGGCTATTTTTTGAGGATTGATTGAATCAACTCATTAAAAATATAATTCAAAAAGTACTGAAATGAAATTATCGAAATGTTTTTCAAAAATATACAGGTGTGAAATGTACATCATCAATAAATGAAATCAAATCGACTAAGAAGGTTCCGATTTGAAATCTCTGGAAAAATAAAAAAATAATAAAAGTAAAATGAATAGCCAAAAATAACAATTATGTCGAGCAATCAAACGTATAATGAAATTACAAAGTTTTATACTTGATAATGGGCTCAAACCCAAAACCGGTCGTATAAATAAAATCAACTATTGGTAATTAGAAAAAAGTGTTTTTATTCATTTCATTAAAGTGATCATGAATTACCACAAAATAAACAAGTCATCAATCACACACATAGGTACACATGACATTAAAACGTACAAAACTTTTGGAACAAACTAATATGCATTTGTGATCCACTGTTTGGAACCTTTGCTAGAACCTTCAAGAGGAAGATTAAGTGATGATTGAAACGTGTCGAGGTGTCAAAAATAACGATTTGGTGTTGGGATAGAACCCCTGTAGGGAAGGCCGAGGCGAATTGGATCACTTTTTCTTTGAGGTTGAGCAAATCATACTAAAGTGTTATATTATGTTACTTTTATTGATGAAAACGTAAGAAGTTATGAAATAAATATTTGAAATCTTAAATTATCCATATATTCTCTTACTTAGCTATTAAAACATGTATTACAACATGTAACAAAATTTTGAGTTTCTTAACATTTGCTGTGGTGAAAATTAATAATGAGATCAATTTTAATCATCAGGACATAATCACATATATATGGTTCTTCCTCCCCCTCCCCCCATAAGTTTATGAACTCTCTTGGAAACAATTGGTGACTTTAAAGGTAATGGAAGAATTTTTTTCTGTACAGGTGAAAGGCTGGGCTTTGTCATACTGTTGCGACTTGTGGATGGTAATATATCACGTGGTTTTGTATTTGTGAGTTGGACTTGTACCTTTATTTTGACTGAACTTGTTCTGCGCTTCAGGATTGGTCTTGTGGATTCACTTGTAGGGAACTCTTCAATTGGACTTGAGGCGCTTAACAGTCTCTCTGTTCTGCTGATGGACTCTTAATTTTCATCCCAGGTGTTGCTTCATTCTTCATCTTCTTTCTTGAATCTGCACACGTGAAAGACTGGGCTTTGTCAAACTGTCGTGAACTTGCAGCTGACACTGCATCAGCTACTAGTTGTGTATTTGTGGGGACTGGACTTGGGACTCCACAATGTCTAACTCTTGATCACCGATGAACTTGAGGTCAGGTATTGCATTGGAGTTTAGTGGTAATATTCCAGTCTTTTGAAGCATCGCCAACAGTGGCAGCCTGATTCCGAACCCGTTGGAAAAGTGCTTCGAAAACAACTTTTGTGATTCCTTGGTTCGGATATAAGTGTTGCCATGCTGTAGTTTGTTGATGATAGGTTTTGAGCGGTTTGAAAAACGATAGCGATGGATATGTTGCAACCATAACTTAAAATATTCTTTGATGACCCAGCCTTTTTCTGTCAAGGCAACTTCAGTACCAGATGGCATACCACGCACTATCCTAGCCAAAAGAGAGGAGTGATCTCCACTCTAACGGAACGGGCTCGGAGAATATGTGAACTAGAACATCTGGATAGGGAACTGAAATACCTGGAAGTGACCTTGAGATCGAATGGATACAGTGCCTCCGAGACCAAAAGAGCCATGAGACCGAAGGGCACCACGGTTCAAAAAGCGAAAAAGGATCAGATGGTTGCACGCGCATTTCTACCGTTTGTCCCTAGGGTCACGGATAGAATTGGAAAACTATTGGGCAAACACGACATCGAAACAGTCTTCAAACTCACGAGGAAGATACAACAAAGCCTAAGGTCGGCTAAAGACAAAAGAGACCCATTATCAGCAGCAGCGGTCTATCGCATTCCGGGCACTTGTGGAAAGGTATATATCGGAACCACCAAACGATCCACGGGAACGAGACTAAAAGAGCATAAAAGGAACTGCAGACTAGGCCAAACAGACAAGTCAGCTGTGACAGAACACGCACTGAGTGAAGGAGACCACATAATTTTGTTTGAGAACACAGAACTAACTGCCCTCAACCAGGGATACCATAGCCGACTGTTACGGGAGGCAATAGAGATCCACAAACACACGGAAAATTTTAACAGAAAAGAAGAAGCGGTGAACCTCAATCAAATATGGAACCCCATTCTAAAGAATTCGAGAATAACGAACAGGACAACAGGCAGCAAGGTTGTTAATGTTCCAGGATACAACTGATTACCTGACAAGGCATAAATACGCTTTACGAAGCCCAAAAGGGTAGTCATCGGACAGCAAGCCATGATGGTTGAACATCTGAAGGAGCTAGCCACTCGCGCCAGCGAAACGTCAGGAAGAAATTCCAAAAACCCACGGCTTTCAAACACGAAAAGCAACGACACTGAGAGCCTCATCCGTGAAAGTCTAAACCACTTTGTCAAAATAATTTTTTATATCAGATTTATATTTTTAAAAAACACTGTTTCACATATTATGATGCACTGTTTGGAACCTTTGGTGTGGTAATGAATATTACTGGAGTTTTTTCCCAACACCAAATCGTTATTTTTAACACCTCGACACGTGTTTTGATCACCAAGTGATCATCTTCAAAAGAAAGATTAAAACTAGAAACTAATGCGAGCTAACCCTATTTAGGGTTTTCAGTAATAAACAATGAAATATACAAATACTGAAATCGACCATTTTCACGAAGATGATGATTTCGTGATTACCAATGAAAAAAACTAAGAAAAAACATGCATTATAGCTCCTTACTAAACATATATACCAAGGGGTATAATTATATTGACTGCTGAAAAGCAGGATATTATTCGCAACTCGCATGTGAGATAATAATATTGTACAAGTTTTCAATAAGTACCGATGGTACCGAAGATGAGACGAGGCATCATGGGTACGAGAACGCAATACATTTTTTGTGATAATCATCTCGAAAATTGTATGTACCAATTTGGGCGGATATGAAAGGTTGTTTTTGAGATGTGCAATTTAGTTTGAAACTCATCGAAACGATGATATCAGGCTGAGACGCGTCTAGTCTGAGAATGCGGGTATCGGCATCAATATACCGAGTGAGACAGCTGGTTAATACATCACATCAATAGGGTGAACAGTGTGGTGAAAATATAATGTTTTTATGCTAGGACCCCAACTTGTTTATTCGAAGAATTAGATCACTGGCTGCTTTGGAGGAAATGACCAGCATTGCCATAAATTAGGTCTGTTCAAAAAATAGGGTGAATATTCAAATTTTTCGGGTTACGATTTTTATTTTTTCTTGTTGTCCAAAAATTACGACCAAGGTGTCATTCGATTCATATTTTTGCCTAGAAAGTTTGAGGAAAGGTCCGAAAACGCGGCGATAATAATTACAAAAGTTATAAACAATTGAGTGAAAAAAAATGGGGCTTTAGTATTTTCTTAATATCTCGGAAAATTTTCAAAATTTTGGAAATTTGAAAGAAGATTTGAAAAGATCAATGAATTTGCGTAAAAAA